CAAGAGGGCTTATTTTCACACATCTTGTCAAACAAGTTTGGAAGAATGGCTAGGTGACATACACTCTAGACCTGTGGGGACAGCATTCATTGGGAGAAAACTCAGACTCAGAATATGCATCAAGCATACAGATCCAGCCAAGTTTGCTGGCACACACCTAAATTCCAGAGGTCATGAATTCAAGTGAAGTCTCAGCAAAAATGTTAGCAAAATCCTATCTCAAAAAAAGTGGGGGCTGGAGATACGGATTAGTTCTTGACTAGCAAACATGAGGCTTGGTTTCAGTCCCCAATTCTGAACAAGCAAAAAGGCCATCTGGTCCCCAGACCTATCACATTCTGTTACATCACCCCAATCTCTTTAGGCTGCATGATTGTGAACTAACTGTTCCCAGGCATAATCAGTAGGCTGAGTCCATACTTGTGAGCTGCAGTTCTACAGTAGGATAGAACCTATGGCATGAGTTCTACTTCAACACCAAATCAGGATCAATTACCTTTGAAGACCTCAGTTATAGACAATGTCCATAGAGTTTTGAAGAAGGCCAGCCTACAGGAATTAATGTTGGATAAGTTAAATCTTACTTATCCGAAAGTTTTTGGTCTTTTCCCGTATGATAGGAGAAAATTTTTATTGTGTTGTAATTTAATTTGCAATCCTCAATTAAGACTGAAGTTGATCACATTGTCTTGTTTTAAGAAGTATTTATGAATTTATCTTTGAAATGTTGCTAAAATCTTTACCTCATTTCTCTATTAAGTTATTGATCTTATGTATATATATATATATATAAAATATATATATAGATAGATATAGATTGTTTTATTTTTATTGTGTTTGTATCAATTAAGTTTATATATTAGGGTTCAGTCAGGAAGTAGAAACAGTTGAATATATGTAACAATTTTGTATGGGATTTAGGCTTTAAACTTGAAAAAGAGCAAATTTGCTAACCAGCTCTGGTCGTGGTACAGGACCTGGAAACTGCAAGTCTGGCTGAGGCAGTAGAACTGCATAAGGAGGCAACTGCAAAAATCTGGGGAATATTGACCCTTCACAGATACCACCACTTAGAGTTTGCAGCAAAGTGCCTGGTCACGGTGGATCACCAGTGACAATCATGATGGAGAAGTCTAAACAATGCAAGGAAAACCTAGAACCCTGCAGAATCCTTAATCTGCTCCCCTCTGTCTAAATCCTTAATGTCTCTGTCTAAACTCCACAGATTAAGGGCTGCTGCAAATTCCCCTTGTGGCCATTTTTAATCTGGAAATTTTAGGGAATGGGATTTGGGGAAATGTAATTCCAGCTTAGTTAAATTCCCAACTTTTCTGAATTTTAATAGATTCATCAATTTTGATATTTTATTTGTATTTTCTATGCTTCAAGTCATTTTATATTATTATAATCTAATTTTTCCTAATAATGTTGCAGTTTAATTTGTACATGTAAATCTTTGATCCATTTAGAATTAATTTTTGCAAATATGTGTGTGAGGTATGTATACAATTATTTTTTTCCACATTGCTATAATATTGCCCTGATAACATTTGTTGAATAAAATATTTCCCATTCATTTCAGGCATTACTTATGTATTTAATTCCTGTATTATTTTAGGTCACTAGTCTATCTTGCTGTTCTTGCACAGAAACATAGTTGTGGGTCTATACTATATTTTAGAAGCTGGAAGACATAATCCATCCTCACTCATTTTTCTAGCTGTTCATCTTATATATTTTTCAGTAGCAAAAACTTTAGCACCAAGTTGATGTTTATGATTTAAACATACTATTGGCAGTTTATTGGGAATTGCCATAATTCATTGATGATGTAGTGATAAATACAAATACATCCAGTCTAAAAGCGTGACTGTTCAAAGCTAATTTTGTACTTTTCAATGTACATTAATGTTTTCTTTGTAAATTATTTTACCCTCTTGTTTTCTTTCCTTTTCTTGAGTTAATTCATCATTTAACAACTTCAGTTTCCTCTTCCCCCACTCAAAATATCTATTAAATGCTCTGTATTTCTCTTTTCTAATCAAGTTTTTCTTTTATCATTATTATTTTTATGGTTCCTGTGCTAACACCTGAGTTTGATCATTTAATTAATTTTTTCCTTTTGTTTTTAATACACTTATTTAAAACAATGAATTTTCTTCTGAACACTGACTTAAAACACATGTTCTAATGTATTGAGTTTATTATGTCCCTTTTCCTATCCCCCAGATATTCCTTAGTTTTAGTTTTCAATGTTTATTCCAACTGTCTATTAAATATTTTTAAATATTGTTTTTACTTTTAAATAATTTTTCTTTCAGTAGAGGTATAATCAGATATTGTCTGTATTTTTTATACTTTGCAATATGCTGCATTTCTGGCTTTATACATGCCCTTTATCTCAAGCCTAAAATTTTTAATTTTCATTTTAAACACATACTAATTGTACAATTTAAGTTATTTACTTTCTTTTTTTAGAGAGAGTAAATGTTTAATGGGCACTTGGAAAAAATATATAAATCAATTGGTTCTACCTCTTAGGTAAGTATGTACAGAGTTTTTTTTAGCCTTGCTTTATTCCATCCATTTTAATCTATATGGACTGAGAGTCATTAAAATCTAATAACTATTTCCTGTTTCTTGAAATTTCTCTGTGAATTCCTTTTACTTCTTGCATTATGAACCAATGCTGTATATTTGGGCCATTCATTTTCTTAATTATTATGATTTGTGATTATTATTATAGAACTTGTGATTTTTTAAAAAACTCACATCTTATCTTATGATCATGATCCAGGCTTAATATTTGTTTACGTTTGGCTGGTATTCTTTTACCTTTAACATTCCTAAGTACATGTGTTTTGCAAGATATTTGGGCATTAGCTTAGAGTAGAACTTTCTTAGATAGAATTTGAATTCATTTTTTTTACTAGATGAATTTGACATACTACTATTTTTGCCTGTTAGGCTGGTTGATTTTATTGTGTAAAAATTATAGTATATAATTTATAATGCTTTATTTTGTAGGATTATTTTCTTCATAATTCAGAAGATGAATTTTAGGGTTGCCTTTATAACTAAACTTTATGTATACAACTAAAGTCCATGTTTTCAGGCAATGTATACTAATTTCCTTTTATAAGCAATGATCAGATTACTATATTTCCTTATCTTTCACCTTTTCTCTTGGTTATATTATGTAATCTTTTCCTTTTTGCTGATTTGCACACTTTTTGCTTTGTATATTAATTTTCCACAAAAGAGAGAAAGTGTGGGACACTTGTCTTGGTGGGACTGGCTTATTTCACTTTAAATGATGATTCAGTTTCATTCATTTTCTAGCAAAAGAAATAATTTCATTTTTCTTAATGGGCACATAATCTGAGCTCAAACTGGGCTATTGTGAATGCTGTTGTGATAAGCATGGATATAAAAGTATCTCTATAGTAAACTGACTTTTATTCTTTTGGGAATATATCCAGAAGTGGTATGGATGAATCATATAGGAGTTCAGCCTTTAATTTTTTTGATGAAACTTCATACCGATTCCATAGTGGGTGGAATAATTTTCCTTCTATCCTGCAGTGGCTATGAGTTCTCTTTTTCCCTGCATTCTTGCCACCATTTGTTTTTGTTTTTTTGTTTCATTTGTTTCCTTGGTGATGGTCATTCTGACTGAGGTGAAATGTAACCTCAATGTCATTCTTTTCCTGATGGCTATGGATGTTGAATAATTTTTTATGTATTTCTTGGACATTTTACTTCTTCACTTGAATGTAGTCTGTGCAGTTAATTTGCCAATTTATTACTTGGATTATTTGTTATTTTGGAGTTCAGTTGTTTGAGATCTTTATGCATTCCGGATACTACTTCCTTGTCATATGAATAGCTAGTAAGGATTTCCTCTCATTGTGTAAGCTATCTCTTCATTCCAGTAATTTTTCCTTTTGCTCTGCGCATACTTTTTAATTGATACCATCCTATTTGTCATAAATTTTGCTCTTATTTCCTAAGATATTGGAGTCCTATACAGAAAGTCTTTGTGTATCCTTACATCTTGAAGTGTTTCCCCTATGCTTTCCTCTATTAGTGTCACAGTTTCAGGTGTTATATTAGGGTCTTTTATATAAATGTTATATTAGGGATTTTTACACAAATGTGATTTTTTAGATTCAAATGATATCTGTAAGCCCTCAGCAACAGAACATGGGAAAATCAGCACATTCATACTGCTTCCCATATACTCACCCCCTGCTATTTTTAATGATTTTAATTTTTCAAGTTTTAAAAACATTTACATTTTATTCCAAGCCCATACCTTCCACAAATATTTTAGGCTTATTATGATAGGGAAGTATATTTAAAACTAACTAGCAGCTCATATACTGTAGACTTTATATTTTCTCTGTTGACTAATGTTTCTCTTTTTTAAAATACCTTCTGCTTAAAAATTCAAATGCGTTCTCATTTCAATAATGACTAATTTTAGCAATACTACTTGAGTTCTTGCATTGCAAAATTAATTTTAGACTTAACTGATAGCTGAATACTTATAACATTTTGTGTATCACATCTTTTTTTCTTTCTTTTTAGGCATTGCACCAATTGGTTCCATTACATTTTGGCTTGACACACTATTTTGAAGAAATATAAGATAATTTCTTTAGAACTGATGTGTGTGTGTGTGTCATTGAAGTTCTTGTTCTCATTTTGCTTAGATACCTATTCATTTTCTAATCATTGATATCCAGTAGTATTACAATGGTATGTAAAAATGCTGGCACTCTCAATTTTTCCTGTGATAAAGTGTGCTTTGAATGTTTACATTCAAGTACTCTCTTATTTCTGTAAATTATCTTACTAAACTAACTTTAAATAATTGGTCTTTATTATTTTAATTTCCCTCATTTGTGACTCCAATTGTATGTCTTTTCTATCTCCTTTTCTTGAATAAATAAAGTAATTGAGAGGACTGATTCTTTTTCTTCTTGGATATTTCCTTGCAGGAGCTCATGCATCCAAAGTCTGGGGCCAATGGAACAGCCATTACTAAATTCATCCTTCCAGGTTTGGTGGAGACTCCAGAGCTGCAACTAGTTGTCTTTGCACTTTTCTTCTGTGCTTACATGGCCACAGTTGGGGGCAACCTCAGCATCCTGGCAGCTGCCTTGGTGGAGCCCAAACTCCACACCCCCATGTACTTCTTCCTGGGAAACCTATCATGGCTGGATGTTGTGTGTATCAGTGTCACTATTCCCTCAATGTTGAGTTGTCTCTTGTCTCATAAGTGTACAGTTCCATATAAAGCTTGCCTCACACAGCTTTTCTTCTTCTATCTGCTGGCTGGCATGGACTGCTTTGTGTTGACAGCCATGGCCTATGACCGATTTCTGGCCATCTGCCGGCCCCTCACCTACAGCACCTGCATGAGCTAGACAGTCCAAAGGATATTGGTGGCCATATCTTGGGCTTGTTCCTTTGCCAATGCCCTAACCCATACTGTGGCCATATCCACACTCAACTTCTGTGGTCCCAATGTGATCAATCACTTCTACTGTGACCTCCCCCAGCTCTTCCAGCTCTCTTGCTCTAGCACCCAACTCAATGAGCTGCTGCTCTTTGGTGTGGGTTTCATAATGGCAGGTACCCCAATGGCTCTCATTTTCTTCTCCTATGCCTATGTGGCAGCTGTAGTTCTACAAATCCGTTCTGTCAAGGGCAGGAAGAAAACCTTTTCTACATGTGGCTCCCACCTCACTGTAGTTTCCATATTCTATGGTACTGGTATTTTTAACTACATGTGTCTTGGTTCAGCCACACTTTCAGATAAGGATAAAGCTGTTGGAATTTTTAACACAGTCATCAACCCCATGTTGAACCCAATCATCTATAGCTTCAGGAACCTTGATGTACAGGATGCCCTCTGGAGAGTGATCATGGGGAGGTGGTCATTGACTTGAGGAGATCAAAAGTAGCCCTTTCTTCCTCTGTCTTTCTTAACTAATGGAAATATTCTATAGAACTATGGACTAGGACCCATGATCCAGAAGTGCTTCTATCTCCCTGAGTTTGACAAACTTTTTTATTGGATAATAATTGTTGTCTCCCAAAGAAGCCCTTCCCACTTTTAGGAAATAGTATAAAGGTTCCAGAAGGCCAACCCATTTGAAAAGTTACAATTTCATTCACTGTGACTTTTCTGTAGTTTGAGTTCCCAGAAGTATCCCAGGAACAATTCCCCTGGAGAGGTCATATTTTTCCTCAAGTTCACCTACAGTTGATTCGTTCATAAAACATAGCCCTTGGGCCAAATCCATAGGTCTTTCCTCTCTTGTGACAAAAAGATTCCATGAGATACAGAGGGGACGGATGAGAATCCATGTGGTAATATGTTCTCTAGTAATTCTGAATATCATAATACCTCTGTTCTCTGCATTGACCTGTTTTTAGATGTTAAAATGCCATTTATATGTATGACACATTTTATGATACAAAAATTAGTTTATTTTATCTATCCTTTCCTTTAGACTTCCAATCTTTTGTAAAGACAGCAAACTATAAACATTATTTAAATATTTCAAAAATCCTAAGAGATTTAATATGAAATTCCCCTCTAAATTTTCTCATCACCAAACTTTCTATCTCAGACAATCCATAGCTGCAAATGTGAGCCATGGTAATGCCTGTTCTAAGTTTCCCTTATCAATAGGGTAGTGTGTATCTGACCTAGAACATTATCTCATCTTTCTGTTTTACCAGCATTAAGTTCAATTATTATTTAGGTGTATCTTCCTTCCAGCATCATTTTTAGGACTGATTGCCCATTCCTGAGAGCTCTATTATACCATTGATATTTCTTGATATATTCCTCTGAAACTTTCTTCAGGCTCTGTTTGTGGCTTAGTTTACAGATGTTATTTAATGTGGGTGAAAGGACTGGAAGGGTTAGAGAGGTAGAAAGAAAAGATGTGAAAGAAGGAAGAAAAGCAAGATTGGAGGTTGAACATTTGTGAGAAAGTGAAATTAAAACATGGAGAATAGGGAGAAATATTGAACTGCACACAAAGTGGGGCTGAAAGTAAATAGTATTGGGGAGGACCAAATGGAAGTTGAGTAGTAGATGAGAAATACAGGGAACATTGGATAAGATGCCTTGTGTCTGATAAAAACTAAGGAAGATATAAAATTAAGCCATATTTGCTCTTTCCATTACATACCATTCAGCAATAACTAGTTCTGGCAGCCTTAAAGCCATTATTGTTGCTCATCCTCTTTGCTAAGGAAAAAAACATCATAAAAGTTTATGATTAATGAGGAACTTATATGCCCTGCTTTGGGGGTCACACCTACTAACTGTGTCAAAACACAGGAAAGAAATGGTTCTCTCCTGATTCTTTTGAGTCATTAAGTAAAGTTCAGGGATACACAGAGTGAGATTCCCACAAGGGTTTGAGATACTGTTGGAAAGACCTGTGACATGACCTCATGAATTATTTCCTCCACAATGTTCTTGACCTTGAGTAAGTTTTTCACCTTCTTGGCCTGTACTTGGAAGAAAGCATAAGGAAATTATCAAGAATTTCATGATGTGTAGTTCTGTTTGAGTGAATAGAAAGACTTTATCATTCTGTTAAAGTTGACTGAACTTCCACTGACTGAACTTCCACTTCTTCCCCATCTACCCACAGAGTTTAACAGTGCAGCAAAACAAGACTTCTTTACATCCAAGATCCTTGAGTCTCCTATATTTCCTTCTTCTTACCATTCATGTCACACCTCAAGGGGTGAGTTTATCTCATCATTACTGAGGTAGAAGGGAACAATTGGGTTCAGAATCACAAAGAAAGACCTAGGACATCAATTCCCTGTTCACCCTCCATTTCATAAGATATCCTTAAGAAATTTGTCTCCTGTATTGTATGCCAAACTAGAAATCTCTTTGCAACTTAAATTTTTCATTAGACATGAAATATATCATGTTGTAAAAGTACAGACAGAACACAATGTCATCATCACCTTTTGACACCAGAGCCACAACAATACCATTTTTAAAAGTAACTGTTATGGATAGTTTGGTGTTTATCTTTCTAGACAAGAAAACAGACATATACATTAAGAACACCATATTGACTTTTAATTTAATGTATTTATGTCTCTCCACATTAATTAGTATAATTAATTTTATCAACCTATCTATCATATCCATTTTGAAAACTGCATATATTCCATTTTATGTGTAAGCTATAATCTACTCATCTAAACATGATTTGATGCAGTTTATTTTCTATTTTTACAATTGTTAATAGTATAAAGATATTTATGTATGTTTCCATACATTTCACTTAACTTCCACTGGTTAAATTCATGAAAGCAATCTGTGGCTATGGTATGGATGAGTGTACACACATGTGTGCTAAAAGAAATTAAAGGGTAAAGTTAAATATTGCTAAGTACTCTTCTTTTCTTTTTGCCAAAAAATGTGCACCATTTTATATCTGCCTTGGCAGTGTGTGAGAATACATCTTTGACTTCGTTCACTAGATGTCAAAAATTTATCTTTTGAATTTTAAAAATTAGAAAAAATATTTGATTTTTCTCTAATTTGAATCACTTTGTATGAGTATCTCTTTTTTATGTTAGTTTTAGTTACTAATTAAATTTATATATACTGATAAATAAAAATTATAAACATTAATAGCCTAACTTGTTTTGGTACATGTATACATTGTATAATTTTTATAATGATCAGTAGAATCTTCAAATTTTAAGATAGTAACACTTTGTTACAAATATTTTGCAAATGTAATTCCTAATTTCTCATTTGTCTTAACTTTGATTAGGGCATATACTGTCCAAATTAAGTCTCACACTTTTATGAACTTTATCATCCTTGTTCTATGTCATACTAAGAAAAAAGAACTTTTCCATTTAAATGCTATTTCTGTCAGTAATATCTTTCTAGTACTTTTTACATTTCTCTTTAGGTCAAATATTTGATGTATTTAAAGTTTATTTTTAGTGTATGTCCAAACTTTTTCCCTATTGGTAATAATTGTGCCCCACCCACAGTAAAACTTAAGCTTCAGCACATGTAAAATGTATGTGATATTCATTGCAAAAGAAAAACTATTTATACTTTGACCAGAGCTGGTAATCAAGAAAGAAGTTTATAGTTAAGCCTAGCTAAGACAATTCACTGCTAGAACATAGTAATTAACATTCAATAAGTAACCAAATCTAGAATCTCCAGAACTTAATATTCATAATGCCCAGAATACAACCCAAATTATCCATATGAACACTAAAAACACTAAAGAAAATGGAACAAACTTTTTAGAAAAAGTAAAACTTATCAAGTCTAACCTTGAAATCAACTAAAAGTTGTAATGAACTACAACTTTGAAACAGCTACTAATAGATGCAGATTTAAAGCAACTATTACAATTATCCTAAATTAACTTGAAAAAAAACATGTTTTCAATAAATGAAAATCTCAGCATAGAAATGGAAACAATAAGATGGTAACTCTTAAAAAATGAATAATACAATTTCCAAACTAAAATTTTATTGAATATATCTAACAGCCAAATGGTCATGTCAGAAGAAAGTAAGTAAACTTGAAGATGAAGAAAAATTTTTGACGGGTAGAGTGTCTCACGCAGTAAGAAAACTTGCCTAGCAAGCATGAGGCCCTGAGTTCAAACTCCAGGGCCCCCACAAAAATATTTTTAAGAAAAATTATCCAAAAATAAAATAAATATGATTATTAAAAGAAGAGATTACATTTTTAAAGAGCAAAATGTGAAGATGTGGAATAGTAGCAAAAGACCAAAAAAAAAAAAGGAAGAAAAATATGTGCACATAAACTTACCTACATATAAAATGAAGTAAGAAGTCTAAAGTAGAAAGGAGAAAATCAAAGGGGCTCAATCAATTCAGGTCATGATACATATACAAATGGAAATGTCACAATGAATCACCCTGTACAGCTATCTTAAACAAAAAATGTTAGTTTTTTACAAAAATGGAGAACAGGAAGGTAAAACAGATCATGTCTGGTGGGTTGGTACCAGTGGGAGGGGGGAGGATAAAAGGAAAGGATGTAGGGTCATGAATATGGTAGAAATACTATGTACACATGTATGTGAATAGAAAAATGAGACCTGTTGAAGGAGCATCAATCAGAATCAAACTCTACAATATCCTGGAACCCTAGCCTGTGGAAATCATCCTTATGCCATGCCACACTGAGAAAAGCAGCGCCACTTCTCCCCCCTGGCCAGCTCCAAACCTGCTTGCATGAATCTGCAGAACAAACAGTTGAGCATCATGCACCACCTGTGACTCCCGTATCCACCTCCCAGGAACATAATCCAGCACAGCCCCTGAGCAAACTGAACACCCCCAACAACCTGAATAGCATAAACAGCAAACTGAAATATAACACCAACAGCACGGGTAGGGGTGGAATGCTGAACCTGTCATGGAGAACGGGTGTGGGGCAAGGAGCCAAACTCTCAGTGAACATAAGCAACAAAGGCTGAGAGCATGAGTGAGACAACAACCCACCCATCCATAGGAGGCAAACTAGCACTGAGCAAAGTCAGGAGAGGCCTAAAGGCTCAGAGCAGGGGTGGGGCAACAGGCAAACTTCCCAAAGTGAGGCAGGTGGTGAATTCCAGAGCTGCTCTTGTGGGCCAGGGGGTAGCATTCAAAGCTAAATTGCCCCACCTTGCTGGGAAAGGAGGTGATCAAGCAGAGTTGTAGCTGAAGGGCAATGCAGCTGCTGCCTGGTGAACATAACAATAGTTCTGACTACCCTGCACTAACTGGCAGACTCACATCACCTCCCAAATGCAACTAACCCTGTGGACAGAAAGAACCAAATACGACTCACAAGCCAGTCACACGGTGAGACCACATTAACACTTCTGCTTATGCACAATACCAGGATTGGACA